TCTACCAAGTTCTTGATGCTTGTGTTGAGTCATGCCTGGGTGTCCCATGAGATCAGAATCCTGGGGTGCCAGGGGCTCTGTGCCCACCTAGTGAGAGACAGGTGCTGCCCTCTTGACTTCATGGCCAAAATAGATGAGACAAAGGGCAGGAGACAGGAATAGCATTATTTCTGTTTTACTGATGGGAAACTATGGTGCAGGGTGAGATTAAGTGTCACATTCAAGGTCAGTTGGAGAGTTTCTGGCAGAGCCAGGAACTAAATACACATTTCCTGACTCAGCACAGCAGCCAATTATAAATCACCCTTCCTGTGTGCATATAGAGACATTCACCCATATCCTTTTTTTTTAACAGTTAATAGACTTACCGAGGTTGGAGCTGGAAGAGGTCACTTGACATGTCCAGCCTGGCTCCTAGTATCAAGTAGAAAGAGGTGTACACTAATCTTTCCACAAACTTCTGGCAATCAGATCTTATCTACAGGGGAGCAAAAAGCCATTCTGGTCTTTTCCCCTCATGGGCAGGACCTTCCTTTACTGTGTATTCTCACCAGGGAAACTCAATCTAACAATGCTTCAGATGCAGGGCAGCTGGTAAAGCAGATGATGAGAGTAATGGTGGAAATGGAAGAGTTGCACTTGTAATTCAGGGAGGCTAGAGGAGTGGCAGTCAGGTCTGGTGCAGGGGTGTCAAACTCACCCTGTGCTCCAGGCTGGATCTGGACCATGATGCTCCTCATGAGCAAGATCCAGCACAGATGTAGAGCAGTGGTACAGATGGTGGTGGGGACAGCAGAATCAGCAGCAGCTGCAGTGGGGGTGATGGGTGCTGTGTCAGGGACAGTGGGCCTGGCAGCAATAGGGCAAGCAGCTCTGGACAGGCAGGGCTGTGTGAGTCAACCTTCCATCACCCTCCTGCTGCCAATGGCCATGCGCACCAGGGTCTGTGGTCCCTGGATTCTGCAACAGACCACCTCCCTCAGTCATGACTCCCAGCTTCCAGTAGCCCAGGGCCAGAGGAAGCAGTTTCTCAGGCTGGATCCAGCTTGTAGGCTATATATTTGACAAACCTGGGTTAGCGGGTAGAGCACAAAGTTGGTTTGGAAGACTGGGGTTTCTAATCTTACCTCTGCTACTAACCTGCTGCATGACCATGAACAAGTCACTTGCCCTTTCACCCTATGTCTGTCTTCTCCCCTGGGACTAGGGGAAGGGACTGTCTCCCACTGCCTATTTTTATACGTGAGACACTTCGACCTTGGTTGGGGTACCTGGGCCCTGAGAATAGGGAGTCAGCCATACCAGCGAATATTCTGCATCTGGTGTCATCTCAGGGAGTTTAGTCTGATACTGGATGGTGCCATCTCATGCAGGGGAGAAAAAGTGACATTTTCACATTCCCGCTTCTAGCTT